AAATTATTTCATCTTTTCCAAATATTTTTTCTCACAAATAGTTGAAATTTGTTTATGTTAAAATTGTTGCCCCAAAGGTTTGCAAAGAAAAATGAAAGAGTAATTTTTAAGTGAATCAAATAGCTGTGAAGAATAAACCTGTTGCGAGGCTATAAAAATTCGAACAATAGTGAAGAAGACAGTCAAGAATTTTTCAGAAAGGTAATTTAAATTTTTTCAGAAAGGTATTTTGTTTAAAATCTTCAGATTCTGATCCAAACATCTTCAGATTCTGATCCGAATACTGATAAATGCAGTGATAATAAATGTGGTGTAGATACTACTAATCATATTTTACAAGAATTGGTTGTTTAGGAAGAAAGAAAAGTTGATACCGAAGGAAGCACAATTCAGTTTAGGGAACGGAATGAATTTGGCTGTCGGCAACAATCATTTTCATTTCTTTCTTTCCTCAATCCAGTCATTTTTTCAAATACCTACTTTACCTTCTAAGCACTCAACTGTTACCCGAATACGGCTGACGCTGCCTAATCAGAATTTTTGCCGTCACCAGACCGTCAGAATGTGTAACAGGTCATTACAAAGACAGGTACAAGTGGGCGAGACATAAGAAAATCACCATTGGTCGTACAGGTGTAGTCCCGCTTCACTAACTGTGCAGTTCTTAGGTTTGTATTTGCTGACTGCCTTTGTAAGTACTTCTAGTGAGATCATGGATTTTTATGCGTCCCACCAGCTGCCGACCAATAAAGTCGCTGAAAACTGATAATTAGACTTGGGTTCAAAACTCGGCGAAGGAGCTGGCTGCATGAGAGGTTTTGTGGGTTTTACAATTTATAACGTAAATAAGAGTAGTTTCTTGAAAAATTTCTCCACTAAAGCATCCTTTGCCTTGAACTAATAGTCCTACTGAGTTTTGCCGTAATTAAAATAATCCATGTATTTTGTGTATCTTCTTTTTTGTCTAACCAGCACCTTAATTACGAAACTCCTTCAACCGGGCTAATATAGTATATTGAGATGCTCACAGGAAAACGTTTTGACCCTTCGATTCCTTCGTCGACGTAAAATAAAAAAAACTACTAAAATGCGAAACGAAAAAGATAAGAGTTAGAAAATTTATGTAATATATTTATCTTACCGTTATTTATTTTTTAATTTTTTTTATCAAATGTACATAATATTTACTTTGATGAAATTTCAACCGGTTGGTATTTGCTGTGTACGTCTTTTAATGTTTCTTAAACTCCAGTTGCACAGATGCGGATTATTCGTTAGATATCGTATGAGAATAGCTCATTTACGTAACTGTTCATTTATTAGATTTATCTTTCATTTATCTTCTTTCAAATTCATAGAATTTATTCGTTTTCCATATCAATGCCGGTTCTGAAATTAATGTCAATATCTCTGGCTTCAACTGAGTCGATGAAAGTTGCTTGGTAGTTGAATAGAATAGAAATATAAAACATTAAGATACGAAATGTCTGTAAAGAAAATAGAGGTTAAACATTTTTAACTCTAGGAAAGCCAGTATTTGGAAAAAATATTTCTTCTTGAGATTAATGATGCGTGCTAGTAATTTATTTATACGGTACAGGTGTAGATATAAATCTTCTTTCTTGTAAATCGTTAATTCTTCACTGGATATTTCTGTGCTGTGAAATTTACAAAAAAATTTATAATCTTGAGCATTTTTGAAATTTTCGATTTTATGATTTTTCTACTGAATTTGAATATTTAGTATAAGTACTCTTTTATGATTCTGAGAAGTTATTTTAGTACATTAGCTACATGCACAAAATTTAGAAAACTGTAAGTGTACAAACAGCTCATGGTTTCTAAACCTTATTAATTCAAGTCTGATGGAGATTCACGGAATTTGCATAATTTTTTAAATGTGATGCTCCATAATCGACAAACATATTCGCCGAAAGAAATTTGTAATATTAATGTAATAATATGAATATAATTAAATGTAAATGTGCTTGCACAAAGACAATGTTCTGCCACTGTTATTTTGTGATAAGTAATTTTGATATTTTAGTTTTATAGAGTTCACAGGTGAAGGCTGTGCTCACAGCTGAAGGCTATCACATTTGCTCCTCTGTTTGAAGAAATTTACGAAACTCTCAGAAAACATTTTCAAGTCTCGAATTTTCTGAGCGGCAGCATTTCTCGTACTCGCTTCATTTACACTAGGACTAGCACATTTGAAACACTGACATCATTATTTGGCACGTGTGGCGCGTGATAAGTCGCTTCACATCGCGTGAAGTGTAGCCGCCTACTAAATCATTCATGATTACCTTCTAGCTAAACTTTGCTCGGCGCGATGTTTGGCGTAAAGTTTGTTTTTCCTTTAAACAGATCGCTTTACGGTAGAAGTCGTTGTACAGTTTCCCTAATTTGGGTGAGAGTTCATTAAAGCTGTAGTGCGATTTTTCTGTAAGCAGAACTAACTCTTTTACTGAATTATTTTATGAATGGATTCACAAAAGAATGGACCATATATAATGCATAATATAAGACTGTGTATTAAATTATATTTGAGCAGAATGGAAAAATTCATATCAAGAAGAAATTATTCTAGCAGGCTTACTACTGCTTGTATTGTTTCAAATGCTCTGTCTGTCTTACTCGTCTGTTTTATATATCAAAATCAGCTGTTTCAGGATTGCTAAATTCTTTTCTTATATTTTACTGCTCTTTGAAATTTTCTTGTATTTCCAGTTGGAAATGACTTTTCTTCCCCCTTCTATACAGAAGAAATTTGGTTCACATATTTTCCTTTGTTTGAAATTTATGACTGTTTGTACATAATAGAACGATGAAAGGCCTCTTTCATATCATAACCTTCTTTGAATTCAGGTGTATTTCTGCATTTGACTTCTTAAAATTCGATTACCATTTTTTTATTTTGCTTTACATTTATTTCTTCTTCATGGTTGACTGCTCATCATTTATGTTTCGAGGATAGAAATTTTAAGAACTGTATTTTCGAAGAAGTGAAGCGAAAACAAGAGGAGAATGAGATGTGTTTGAAATGTTACAGGGCTTCCATCAGCATTTATTCTCCCTGTCATAAACTTTTCAACAAATGAACACAGCCAATAAATGGAAAATGATAATTTAAACTGAAGACAGTGACATTTCCATTAAAATATGTGGAACATTTATGCATCATCAAATTTTAAACATCGGATTTTATGATGCTTTTTGCATATATGTGAAAGAATCGAATGAAAAAACAGAAATGATTGACAAATTTTTAGTCGTTACCCTTAATAAAATAATAAATAATACTTAAATTAATATAAGAATTATTAATTTTTATTTGGGGGGGGGAAGCCAAGACTTAGAATTTTTGCGCTGGAGATAAAAATGTTATTTTCCGTACAGTGTTGCCATTGCTCGCTTTGAACTCGTTGATTTTCTTAATCAAAAATTCGTTAAAGTTTTACAAAATATGAAATGGATTAAAATAAATTCGAAATTCGGCTGTTCGGGTAGAGGATTACGTTAATCAAAATTTGATAGCTCTAGATACCGTCATTTTTTCACAGTGCGAGAAACATACATGTATTCATGCAGATTATTCATTATTAAATTTCTTTAAATATAATACAAGTTTGGGCTAATAAACTAAATTCACAGTAAATAAAAAAATCTTATGCAGAACTAGAATTAAATTAAAAAAGTAATCACTATAAAATGTTAGCACAATCAATTATTACAGTTTACAATTTTGACATTAGAATTAAATGTATAAAAATTATTAAGGTGTTAAAAGTGTTTATCACTACGATGTACTGTGAAATATAATTGAAATAGAACTCCTTTATAAAAATATGCTATAATATTCACCTATAATCTTAAATAATCAGCACAACTTAGAATTTTAAGCAAAAACTTTCAAAAATTAATTTTTGGGTATTTTAGTATTTTTTACTTATTTACACCAATAAAAATTATAAGAGAAACTTCTTTGTATGAAATTTTCTATTAGTTCAGATTTAAAATATTATTTTCTAAAAAAAGTAGTTACAAATTTCCTTACAGCATAGGAAAAGCTAAAAAAATAGCCGAGCCTGAAAGCATGCAACAGCTTTATAATTATTTGGAACGTTAATTATGCTTGATAAATATGCTAAATTAAAAAAAAATCAGTCTCAGTTTCAAAAATAAAAATATCTAAAAATTCTAATTTGTGAAAAGAAGCGCTATAACCAACTTTTCCTTGACAATTATATACACTGCAATAGCCAACCATTGTAAGTTTCTGCAAGTCGTCCCTACCCCTCCGGATGTGGTCAAGGTGACAGTCGGGAATGCGTCAGAAGAGGGAGAAAAGGCATTTGGGTTGGTCTATTTCTTATAAGGTCCATGATTTATAGTTTGTTATGTAGTACATACATTTTCAAGTTTTAGATGAAGATAACGTGAAAATATTTGCAGAAAGATAGGGTTTTAGTCTGATAGGGATTTAACTTGCTGTTAAAATCTCTAACAAATTAAATTGTACCTTTTCTCTTGTTTTGATTATGAATTCTTTTTATTATTAGTATTAATTAACTACACTAAAAATCAGGCATGTACTTTGGAGTGCATCTTTACATAACTAATGCTGCAGCTTTATAATAGCGTATTTTTTTTCTAAAGTCATTTCACATTATTTGTACATTATCACAGCATTTACCTTCTGCCATTAATATACTTGTACTTAAAATACACAAAAATTGGTTGTAGGAATTAAAGGAATCCTTCTTTTTTTAAATGAATAAAAGCTCATAATCACTAAATCTTGAAAGCAATTTAATAAAACAAGAAATATTTTAACAAAATTTGAAAGTTAAAACGAAGTGATACCTATTTGAAAATTACCATCTTTCCAAATGTTTGACGCTGTATTGCTCATATATGAATTATGTAATGTTATAAATCTTATGTAAGTATGTACAAAGCAATAAATATTACATTTTGTTCCTTACTTGTTACAGATACATTCCTGGAAATGGTTCAAGTATCTGAAAATAGCACAAACGCACTATTTACGGATGGCTATCCATCTTGGGAACTGCAGGCTCGAGTTCCTCTTGGTCAGTTGTTTGCAGATCTCCTAGCATACATGAATGGACAGGATGTAGATTTAGAAGAACGTGTAGCCTCTTTCTTCGATTCTTTGTTCCCTCTTGCTTACTATCATTCCGTCAACTCCAATCAGAAAGATTTCAGCGACACATATAAAGAATGCTTGCGTGATGGACAGGTAGAAATCCGGCCATTTGGAGACTTGCCGGAGAAGATAGCCTCTCAAATAAGCAGCTCATTTGAGGCTGCGAGGACGTTTCTTGAAGCTCTCCAACTAGGCGTTGAAGTTATCAATACCACGGAGCACATGGACTTCGGCCCGGAATGCAGAAAAGCCTTCGTACGTCTCATATATTGCCCACACTGCCAAGGCTTAGTATATGCAAAACCTTGTGCTGGAATGTGTCTCAACGTAGTCCGAGGCTGTTTGGCAAGTGTTTCTGAGCTCGATGCATCCTGGAGTGAGTACGTAAGCGCCTTAGAAAGGCTCACGTCTGGAATGGTGGGAATATATAACATTGAACAAGTATTACGTGAGCTAGATAAAAACATTTTCGACACTGTCACTTACGTAACAGCCAACTCAGCAGACGTAACTAAAAGGGTGAGTTTTCATCAATTTAATACATTATTTTCTATATATGTCCTCTTTATTTCATATATGAGTTATTCCAGAGTTTTCTTTAAAAACCGTATCTTTGAATGCATTTATTTACTGTTTACGTACTTCCACTTTTACACTTATATATTGCTGATACATAGAAGCTGAGAAAAGAGTTATGTATATCAATCTTTAATTGATACACATAAATAATTGTGTCTATTGAATATTACTCTTAGGTAGTTCTTTCATCTTCTATTTAGCAGCATTTTATACTGTCATAAGTACCATTTAAATCTTTTTAGATTTAATTTCGCACCATAAACTCTTTTTTTAACAATATTTAGATATTATACTATGCATATAATATGAATATAATACTTATTATACTTCGCATCAGTTTTCATCCAAAACTGATGCGAAGTATTCTGATATTCTTTCATTCTTCTTTGAATCATAAGATATTTCAATCTGGAAAAATTTATAGCAGGTCATCGATTAACTTTCTGTTCCTCATTGCTTATTTTTAAAGATGTTACACTGTTATAAACACAGCGCACTTTTTTTTCACTCCAAACTGAATTTATAACTGCTAAACAATCATTATAAACTCAGCACATCTGCTTTGATGTTGTTGAAATTTAACTAGTACTATATCTCTAACTTTCCAAAGCAGATATAAGATGGTGTTATTCAATTTCACAGCTCTGGAAACATAGATTTATTTAGTGATGATTTAAAAAAGTATTAAAAAATTAAATCGAACATGTTTCAGATATTTTTCCTGCTGGCGAAAAGAAATTTTAAATCAGTGAGTAAGTATTATACTCGTATCTGCTTAAATCTGCGAGGAATTTTATACTGAACATAAATAAGTAATTTATGTATATCTTCTCTTTGTTAATTCCGGAAATTTTGAAACCTATGTTTTTACTTCCTCATACGGTAATACGTCTTTTAATTGAATCTGATTTAACCGAATACGCCTTAACTACAACAGTGGAGAAAAACAGCATTGAAGAAATGATTCTGGAAGCAAATCACATCCAACGTTTTTTAAATTTTATTATTTCATGTTTTAGAGATAAATCCTGATTTTAATATGAAAAAAAATTTACCTGAATACATTGCATTTAGTGATAGTGAAATGTGTAATCTCTGTCGCGAATTGGCTTTCATGCACGCAGCTCATCAAATGGTGATATTAAACAGCTGCTTAGGTGTTGCGTGAATAAATTAAAAATAAGGTAATTCATAATTTTGAGGCATAACGACATGGAAATATATTACAGACATGTAAGTATATTATGATACGCATTTGTGAGGGGAGGGTTGCGTACTGTAATACATGTATATTACTTCCTTTTGAGAATAGTTTGCATGGATTATACGAAAAAAAAGTGTTATACGGAATAGTCCCACTCTTTTTGATTTGGATAAAACAACGTTCTACTATATATATTTTCAGTGTGATTAAATCTTGCATTTCTTTCATTTTGTTCAATAAATTTCAAAGCAGCTGTGGAGTCATTAGATTTTTTGTTTTTGTTTTGTTTTTTTGCAAGAGACGTAAAATGTGTGCAGTGCCCTCACCGGCACTCGAACTTCGGACCTCTCGAATGCGCATGGAGTATTCTTCCAATTACACCACGAATGCACACGGAAAGTACCTTATACAGTATTAAAAAGACTCGCAAACATACATTGTATAGGCATACAAACATACAAAGAAGGCAGAAACTTTTTATTGAATTTCATGAAAGAGTTTAGTATGTAGAACACCTTTCAAATATCCAGTTTTTATTAACAGAAGATAGATGCTTGCGATTTTAATAATGGTGTAGCGTTGCGCGCCTCCAACTTGCACGCTACCAAGAGGTGACTGTGAAAACTGGATAAAAGACAGAGTCTTGTTAAGGGTTTAAGTCCCTTTTTATTCAACGTAACAAATTACAAGTGCGTGCTCTTGACGCTCACAGACTGCGCCAACTCGGCGGTCAAATAAAAATAATAACCTGAAAAGAAACTAAAGACAAGACTCTAACTACGAGGCTCTCTAAAAGTAACTAACTCACCACGTTTTACAATACCGCTGCTAATTCAGCAAACTTGATCACTTGAACGATTAACACTACTTCCAGGCAAGCACACAGGCCGAAACGCGGGGTTCTTCAATTTCTGGCCAACTACCTCCGCGCTCGTGAAGTAAGAATATCACACCTCGAACTCGTTCCTTTCTATTTAAATCAGAATACTTCCGCTGATAATTTGAATCCTTGCGCGTTCTACTAAAATTTACATACTCTGGCATTGGCAGTTCCAGGGGAAAGTAAGGCTTGACAGGAAAGATAGTTTAAACTTAAAATAAATGTTAGTTAAAATAAATATAAACCCTACAATGGAAAGGATTTTAAAACTGGAATATGTTGATATTTGTATGCTGTTTATGCGTGTTAGTGCTTTCTTACAAGATTTAAAACGAACTGTATCTTATATATTTATTGTCTCTTTATTATAAAGAACGTAGAAAAATCCCGCCAGTTTTGTCAAATTATTTTATATAAGTATTTTGATATGTAACCGTTCGTTAATTTTGTACTGTGCAGTCATGTTGAGCAAAATGTTAGATCCATTACTCTTTTACTTGAAAATATTTCTATTTTATTATTAATGAAGCGCGGATGTGCTTTTTTATTAATATTATGGATATTAAATTTTTATAACAAATAGATTAATGTCCTGTAAGATTCTACTTCCATCTTAGGTTAAAGTTATCTTGTTATTGTTTTCTTGCCAAAATTATATTGCTAAGGTAATAAATAATTGTTTGTTGACATGTATAATGCACTATCTTGTAGTATTATCCTACAACAATGTCGTGTGTCCATATTAAATCATGAAATATGAATTTGAATAGGGGGCACGTCGAAATATCGAAATTCAAATGAACTCCCTTTAGAGATCGTTATAATTCAGCACGAAGTATTGATTATTTACATGTATGAATATTGATTATGATGCATTGAACAAAAGAAAAGTACATCGTAATCATGAAACAGCTGCATATTTTCCACGGAAGCAGTACTCCATCATTTCGTTCCTCTCCGATCAATGAAGGTAAAGTTGCAGTGCTATTAGTTCGGTAAACAAATTACTAAGATAATTAGATAATTAAGATTTTCTTCCTATTTCAATAATTGCTTCATTCCTAGTTTGCTCAACTATCAAGCAAAACAATCACATTACGCTTTTGTGAATAAATGGGAGTCAAACATTCATAAAATGGCTTGCTAAAAATATTCTGTAATCTTCCCCTTTTTCTGAAAGATATTAATTTCATATGCATGCGATAACTGCTGATGTTTAGAATAATTTTTTAATTTTTTTCTTCCTTTTAATAGTAGAGGAAGTATTGTAATCGCGAAAAATTTCGGATGTCATATTTCAACGAAAATATTCATTTTAATCGCTCTCGAATCCATTTGAACGATATTTTTGCTTCGCATCTATATATACAGACAGAATAAAGGACTATTTTTTCCAAAACGGATTGTAAAATATATTTAAAATAGACTCAAAAGAGATTTTTTCATGGTGTCTGTACGTACGTACGTATCTCGTATAACTCAAAAACGACTTGCCTTAAAACGTTTAAATTATGTATGTGGGACTCCTATAACATGTAGTTGTGCACCTCTCTTTCTGGTTGCAATTGGCATGTCAAACGATATATATATACCAACTCTGTTACCTGGCTGAGTGAGCTCAGCCTTTTTATTGTTCTATGTTTGATAAATTTTGCATTTTTTACATTAAATGTGATTGAATTTTGTTGTTGTTATATTCCAGTTAAGTTTTTTTATGCCTTTAGTTAATCTACATACAACAGCTGTAGAATTATCAACTATTTAAAAGTTTAAGTGGTGCTAAGCATAACGAAGCCGTAATTTGTTTGCATTTGAAACTCTTAAGAGAATATTGAATTAAGTCGTTTTGCGTTTCAACTTCAGTGTTATTTTGCAGAGTGGAACCAAAAGTAACCTTTCAATTTTGTGCACCGAAAAATATATCTTCCTGCACGCTGGCCGAATTGCTTTTTTTTGTGTAAAAACATTAATTTTAATTGTAAATTTTTTAAAACTGTTCTTAACTGTATTTGGTGCTTTATGTTTTCCTGTATTTTACAATTTTTAATGAAGATGTTTTGAGTTTTTATGTATTTTTTCTGGCCGCGAAGTGAGAAGTGAATTAATTGAATTAATATCTGTAATGAAATTCGAATAAATAAGTTTAAATGAAATGCATCAAAAACGTGTATAGTTTAATAGGCCATACAAGGAAGCCATACGGTGTTTACATTAGATATTTAATTTAAGAGCCTTGATGTTGAAATACCTGCAGTTTACGAAGATGCTTATTTAAGCAATATCGAAATGTAAGATCCTAAAGAGAACGAAATTAAAATAAAATTTAATAATAACTTCTGTGTGAAGAAAGAAATCTACAGCTTTCCTCAACTAACCAGACGTTCCTTATTAAGTTAACGGTGAAAACTGCTGTGTAGGTTATATTATTATGAAACAGTGCCCGTATAATATATTATTCTTCCTCACAAAACAAAACAAAAAAAAAATCTTTAAAATGTTCTTTTATTTATTTATTTGTTTAGAGGTTCCAAGCTAAATCAGGGTTAATAAATTTGATAAAGATATATAAATACTGTGCATAATAATATGCACAGTATTTATATTTTCCGTCTTTAACGGTAGAAATTTAAATTTTACTCTATAACTGAATTCTTTATATCTTTTATTTTAATAAATAGTTGATAATTTAGATTTTTCTTTCTGAACTGTTGCTTTGACCCATCTAAATGCTCGTCCTTACCTTTCTGAACAGTTTTTTTCATATTCTCAGACTCTCAAACAGCAACACTGGCAGTTGCTAGTGGTTGGTAATCTTCTATTTCTTTTTCTGTAATGCAGTATGGATTCCTACTGCGA